ACAGACCTTTGGAGGCGGAGCAGTCCTCGTCCAGCACTTTGACATCATACCAGTACCCTCTGCTCATACTGGTGTCAGTCCGTAACCTGGACAACGCCAGCGTGACCGCTGCTGTCGGCATCGCCCGGGAAAACAACGGGTCACATGACCACGGACCGACCAAGGCGATCTTGAAGGTTGTTGTCCGAACCTCTTCGATGCATAGCAACCACAGACACGCCCCTAGCAACCATCGAAGCTGCATCCTGACAACCTGCCGGAGATTCAGATGGATTTTTAGAAAGTCAACAAGAACAGAAACTCGTCTGAACAAAGATGAAACACAAAAAACTGATTCAGGTTTGTCAAACTACTGTCTGTTAACAAGGAACCTGAAACCTCCACGTTTGAATTACGTCAGGGGCTTAAGACTGTGGGCTTACCACCCACACGAGGGGCTGTAGGGTTGGGGGCTTAGATGGTAAATGGTGAATGGACTGGTTCTTATATAGCGCTTCTCTACTCTTTCTGAGCACTCAAAGCGCTGTGCACAACTTGTACATTCACCCATTTGCACAAGCACATTGTTCTAAGTGCTTTCTGAGTAACATTCACACACATTCATACTCCGATGGGCAATTTGGGATCTTGCCCAAGGATATTTGGCATGCAGACTAGGGGAAGCAAGGGATCGAACCACCAACCTTTCGCTCTACCACCTGAGCTACAGCAGATGTACTGGCGCTCCGATTTCCAGCTTCCAAAACTGGCTTGTGGCACATGTAATGTCGCCTTTCTGGTGGGAAAGGCGCCTGAGCTGGTGCATGAAGTTAAGATGTGATGACCTCTGCATACTCTGGTTCTCAACCAGTTTCCTATAGATGACCTGGACTCTGTTCCCCTCTGGAGTTGCCCTCGATGTAAGGGCACGGACAGAGTGGTACTACATGTATCGCCACGGTTGGCTGCCTTTGCTGTTGGAGTTTTCCCCGGTGGATGAGATGGTTGGTTCCCTGCGCCTTGTGGTCGTGGAATGGGTTCTCCAGCCTTCTTAGGGTCACAGGGTGGGGGTAATAACGCTCAATAACTCTCCAATAAGGAACTCTATTGTGCTGCTGGGGGACTGAGAAGGTGCTGAAGGTTACGTTTCTGCAGTGTTGCATTGCCTATACATTGGCAGACCAGATGGTGGTTGCCCTGTTTAAGCAGGGGGTCTAGAGGGTGTGCTCCAACTACAGAGGGATCACACTCAACAGCTTTCCTGGGAAAGTGTATGGCAGTGTTCTGGAAAAGAGTTCATTTGTAGTCGAACCTCGAATTCAGGAGGAACGCTGAATCCACTGGTTGTGGAACACTGGACCGGCTCTGGCAGTCTGTAATAAGACTTAATCATGCTGGACATACAACTCCGAGAGGAGACAAGCATCAGAAATCTGTATGAATCACTTGTTTGTAACACTGAAAATACACCAGTCAAAACAGAAGAGCAAGCCATTGTTTTCAATAGATTTTATAGGCCAACATTGCTTATGTACACTGATGTCTTTACAGGGTTTGGCTTCCTCTGGACGTACTGCAGTCACATGTGACAGTTGCATGGACAGCAGAAGAACATGTAGTCAAATTCAACGTGGAATCAAACTCAGGACTTGCTGTGAGGCAACAGTGCTAACCACTGCGTCACTGTGGACTGTGGGTAGCCAGAATCACATGATCTGTAAGTTTATACTACAGCAGAGGTTTTAAATCCATCGACCAGCCTCCCACCTGAATGATGTAACATCTTTAACATCTGCTCCTTAATCTTGTGTTCGGTATTAAAGTGAATAACAGATTAAGAATTTAGAGGTCTACGCAGCGCTTCGTTAAAAAATGATGACAATGTAGAAGCTCCAAGGTGATAAGGTCACAGGGACCTGTTGGACCCTTCACAGAGGAGCAGTGCACGCTCTGCTTTAAGGTGAGAATACTTCAATAAACCCTCAGAAGAAGACCTTCTGTTTGACATCACATGACTTTAGTGTCATTTCCACAGTAACTATGAATGAGATGCAGTTAACCACACGTAGGATGCTCGCTTGTATCAGCGTTTGAAAGCCGACTGTCAAAACCTCTGAAACGACCACATTTCCTCTGAACTCCTGCAGCTGTGACTCTGTGGGGTTTGTGATGAGTCTCCAGGTGATGTCACAGAGATGCTTCCCTCTGGGGATAATTAATCTGAAGGTAGGTCTGAGTCCACATTAGAGACTGTGATGACTTGAAGCTGAACACTCGAACCACCAGGCACTGGAAACCTTCAACCTCCTAAGGGACTAGGACCGCTTGTGTAGGACCACT